TGGAGCTTTAGAAACAGCTTTGTAATTTTTCCAAACTCATAGGCATCTATTTATTTATTTATGCATTTATATGGCTGCCCAACTCAAACTATGTAACTCTGGGAAGCATACTAAAAAAACCCAAAAAATCATAACACAAAATAACATAACTCATTAAAACATACTAAACAATAAAATGAACTTAGGAACTTAGCTCAACCTGACCCCAAAGCTGGGGGAAGAATCAGGTTTCAACTACCTTCCTAAAGACCTGTAGGATTGGAGGGGAGGGGATTGTTCCAAAGGGTAGGTGCCATCACACAGAAGGCACACTTCCTGGGTTCCATAATAATGGCATTCTTTCAATAAACTAACCCAGAGTGCGCCCTTCTTGCTGGAACATATGGGATGACAGATTCCCCCAGGAGCAGGCAGTCCTGCAAATAACCTGGTCCTATGCCACATAGGACTTTATAGTTGATAACCAGTACCTTGAATTGTACCCAGAAGCCTGTTTGGAGGATTTCAAGAAATTTCTTTTGCATGAGGCATGATCTGTCTCTAGAAACTTTGGCACTAACTCAGAAGAGAATCCCTTTAAAAATCAATAAAATGTAAATGAAACTTTGATAATTTTCACTAGTAAAAGATATGCAATAATGAAAAAATCTAGAAGGGGTGAATACTTTTTCACAGAAATGTATATTCATTGTGTAGATTTTTTGCAGTGGGAAAACAAAAGAAGGTTACACATGGCAACAGTACTGCTTGGGGCTCTGTAAAATTCTGGAACTGACACAGAATGATTGTATGATAAAAGCCCTACTTTGAACTACCCAGCTAAGGTTGTTTAAATAAGGCATAGGTACACAGCATTGAGAAATCAAATTACTGAACTCTATAGTTATGAAAGATTAAGAAGTTATGAGCAAGTGGCAGCATTTAGCCAACCTTAGTGTATTTGGAAAAAACTAATTACAGTCAGACCAGGGTAGTATTTGGATAAGAGATGACCAGGAAATTCCAGAGCTATAGGCTGGACTGGAAAGAGAAAAAACATTGGAAGAAATCAGGCACAAACCACTTCCATACTGTTACCGAGAAAACTACAGAGATGTGTCCATGTAGCCACCAGGAGTTAAACTTGACAGTGGAGCCATAAGAAGCTATGAGTCAGTTTGGTCTAGTGGTTAAGGCACCAGGTTACAAACCAGGAGACTGAATTCTAGTCTCACCTTAGGCATGAATGCCGGCTGGGTGACTTTGGGCCAGTCACTCTCAGCACAACTCACCTCACAAGGTGGTTGTTGTGGGGAAAATAGGAGGAGGAAGAAGTATTAGGTACATTCACCACCTTGAGTTATTTATAAAAATAATAAAGGCGGGATAAAAAATTCTTTAAAAAAAAAAGGCTTTGCCCAGGGTTTGAAAAAGCACCTATTATTAAAAAGAAAACAATCAACTATTTTCTCCAGACCACAGTTTTATTCAGTGTCTTTCTCACAGCTGGTAGCAGCATCTTGGCTTTGCTCAAAAAAGCTAAACTGGGTTAGACTTGGTTAGTAGTTGGATGAGGACCACAAGGAAATCCCAGAGCTGTAGGCTACAGATTAAAAAAAAAAATCCCTGAAGCAAGTAGTGGCTGACTGAGCCTGTCTACATTGTTGTCAAGACATATTGATGTGTCTATGTTGCAACCTCAAGTTAAGCTCAACTCAGACCTTCCTCCCTCTTTGTATATACCTACATATGCACC